ACTCTTGTGGATTTGTTTTAATATTCTTCAGGTTCAACTTGAACTAACAGATGAGCAATTAGTGGTCTATTCCACAGTTGGCCCTGGCCTTGTTTAAGCTGCTAATATTGAGTTTTTCCATCATCTCTTCCCACAAATTTTGTCAATATGATCGGTGTAAATTCCATCTGGCAAAGTCCACATGTATAGTCACCATTTGTATTGTTGAAAAATGTATTTCAATGAAGAAGTCACTTCTCTTTCAAAATTCTATCATGAAATCTCCAGCTACATTTCTATCACCAAGACCATGTTTTCCAACTATTGTTTCTTCTTTGCTTTTAACTTTTGCATTCCAATTGTAATAATTATCAATGCACCTTGACTGCATGTTTGATGCATCTTGACTGCATGTCTGATCAATTTTAGACTGAATACGTTGGTAAAATTCTTCAATTTCTTCACCAGTAGCTTTAGTGGTTGGTGCATAAATCTCAATAGTAATTGTATTAACTGGATTTTCTTTAATAGCTATCATCCTACCGCAGATAGCATTGTACTTCTAGATAGATCTTGAGATGTCCTTTTTGACAGTGAGTGCCACGTCATTTCTCTTGAGGTTGTCATTCCTGGCACAGTAAACCATCTGATTTTTAAAAAAATCATTTATTGGCATATTCATACAATTTAATAGCTCACATTAAGAAGAGTTGTACGATCATCACCACAATCAATTTCAGAACATTTTATTCTTGTACGCCTTGTTGTTAGTCCAATTCCCCCCATCCTCCCCTGCCATACCGTTAGGTAATTAATTAACCCAGCTACTGTTTCTATAGACTTACCTGGATTTCATATACAGAAAATCATACAAAACACGAACAGGAAGAAGGAAAAATTAAAAAGACAGACTACATACAACAAAGAACTTTAATCTAAAAGAAAGCAGAAAATATTAAAACAGCTTTTAAAATGAGCCTAAGGGATTACATTTTAACCTAATTACATCTGCCATAATTGACTTTACAATGCTGTCTGTGGCCTACATCCTTAGACTTTACAAAGCTGTCTACAACCTTAGACTATTTTCCAAGGACATTCCCTAGAGGCTTAATACATGTGTGGACCCTGATAATAGATTTTGGGCTTCCACTGTCATTTATAGCCTTCTGAACACCAGGTGTTCACAATTTAAGCTCTGATACCATTCCCTCTTTTGGATTTGGATTTTATCATTTACAATCCTTGGGTCACATGGGTTGGTGTGCTTCTTCATGTGGACTTAGTTGACACCTCACTTAGTTGGCTGCCTATTTGAAGACAAGCCTTTAAGACCTCAGATGTTATTCTTTCTGATATCTGGGCACCATCTGGTTTCTACACCACACTTTGCTATGCCACCCATATCTTCAGGGATGTCTTAATGAGGGTCATGTCATAAAAATTAATTGTTCTCATATTGGGATACCACAGCAACACACAACATAAGTGTTCTCAAGTTGTTACGCTAGAATTAAGTGTAAACCTCAAAATCCATTAATCTATCTATGGTTTATATATGTCTCTGGTTCACTTTAGAGACATCATTATTATGATAAAGAACATTATAAGTCATCCCCTGGGGCATAAGATAATTCCATTGGTAATGTCATTAATGCAGCCAGTGGTATAGAATTTAAAATATTACCAAAAAAGGAAAGTATACAGTCCATATGGTTTCTGATTCAAAATGGCCAAATAACAGTCCATGTGAGCTCACTAATGCCTAGGATATAAATCTTTGAATCCTATTTGTAATGGCTTCCAATTATCCTAGATCCATACTTGGTACATCCTAATGTCCAATTATTGATATTTGCTGCTGTTTCTTTTCATTTTTGGTAGTGCCGCCTTAGCAAATGAAGGTCCTGGAGGTTTGACCCGACAGGATCAGTACTTCCTCCACATCTTTATGGTCGCATCTGCATTCCTATGAATGCATCAGCATTCCTTTATGAATGCATCAGCATTCCTATGGATCTTCTACTTTGAGAAGGCAGTGCTTTCTTAGTCATATTTTGAGTGCTTTCCAACCTGAGGGACTCATCTTCTGGCACTTTCTCTGACATTGTATTGCTGATGCTCATGAGGTTTCATTATCTGACATTATTTTGTTGCCATCTGTCAGAATTTCCATGGCTAATTCCTCTAAAGTGGACAATCTATTGCTTTTTTGTAGTCTGTGTTTAGTCTGGAAGCTCTGCTGAAACCTGTTTGCTTTGGTGACCCTGCTGCTGTTTGAACATACCAGTGACATAGCTTCCAGCACCACAGCAACATACAAGCCACCACAGCACAATACATGACAGCCCAGTGATGGCTAAGACTAATGGTCTATAGGAATCACAGCCTACTCTCATCCTTAGCCCAGCTACCTTTACCAAATGTGCTGAACAGGGCCACGATCGATGGATTCCGATAGAATGGTAGAAAATTTTTGAATAGAGCCTCCAATTCCTAAATTAGAAAGAAAGAAACTAGACTCATTGGAATAGTTATATGTGGAGGATGTCCCGAGACAGCTTCTCTGGGATACTCTTTGGTCACCTTTTGGCTAAATAACAGATTGACTCTCAAAATAAGTATCATCATGAGCACCAAGTGCCTTTAAATAATCATCTACGTGAGACAATGTAGTCAATAGTTCCTTTAAATAATCATCTACGTGAGACCATGTAGTCAATAAACAAAGAGGAAAATGTGAGGGAGCAGGGGCACTACATTAATGGTAGTGGAACCACCAGAGTGGAAATACCAAGCAGTCTACACAGTGTGGAGAATGCAGCCAGTGTCACTGAACACGCACAGAAATCATTGGATAGGGGCCTAACCTGTGGTGTAAATGTGCTGAAAACACAAAATATACTTGGAAGGAAATCAAGGAGAGGGAAGGGAGGGAAAGAGGACGGAAATGAAGAAGCGGTGATGGGTGTGAATCTTAAGACCAGAGGGAGTGCCACGTAACTAGCATTCTCATCAATTTGGAGGACTGACAGGCATTACAAAACCTGTGGTAGGACAAAATCCCTGTGACAGCAAAAACGCTTTCAGCTGAGCGGTTTCCTGCCATGCAGACCTCACAGGCTATCTTTAACCTTCAACTTGCTTTAACCTACCTACCCATTTCCCCCATCACTGCAGTGAAAATAGCTTGTATCTATCATATGAAAACGCAGGTAGAACTATTCCACTGAAGAAGAAAGGAGGGGGTGGGGGAGTGGATGTTTGAGCAGGGAGAGGGAAGCTACAGCTAGTGTTGGATGAGGAGGTGTGAGCCCAATAAGCTGTATTAAATTATTTGGAAAGCTACATGTTCGCACACACACAAAGAAAGTCGGTGTGTTCACCTGGCTTTAAGGCAGTGGCACGCAAACTTTAATGTCGATAACAATCCCTGTAGAGATTGTTTAAAAGTTCTTATGTCTGACTCCACCCCTAGAAAATCTGATTTTGGAGGGAGAGAGGGGCCCCAGGAATTGACATTTTCACATGCACCTAAAAGTATCATGATGAACATAATTTATAAACTGTACCCCGAGAAGCAGTTTTAGCATTTCGTCCAGCTATGAAAAATAAAACATTAATCACTGACGTGGTACTAGATCCACAAGCCAAAAAATAATTAAATTCAGAATTAAACTCCTATTCATGTGAGCCAGTTCTCATTTCAGTTAGAATCGTGACTATTTTCCTGATGATTGAGACCTGCTAAAACATATGTACTAGTATTTATGTTGAAATTACTGAGAACTGCCAGAAGAACAAACAAATCTGTCTTAGAAGTACAGCCAGAATGCTCCTTATTAGAAGGATGGCTAGCCTTCATCTCACGCCCCTAGAAAAGGACATCATGTTTGGTACAGGAGGGGGTTGATGAAACAGGGAAAGACCCTTAGGAGACAGACTGACGGGGTGCCTACAAAAATGGGCTCACCCATAATTATGAGGATGGTGCAGGAATAGGCAGGGTTTCTTCTGTGGTGTGTCGGGTCATTATGAGCTGTGACCAACCTGCTGGCACCTGACAATAGCTACTACTACTACTATTACTTTTGTTTCATAAACTCTATAGCTTTTATTTTTATTTATTTTTTAACATTTTATTAGGGGCTCATACAACTGTTATCCCAATCCATACACACATCAATTGTGTAAAGTGTATTTGTACATCATTTCTCAAAACATTTTCTCTCCATTTAAACCCCCGACATTAGGTCCTCATTTTTCCCCTCCCTCCCCACTCCTCCCTCCCACATGAGCCCTTGATAGTTTATAAATGGGTATTTTGTCATATCTTGCCCTGTCCGACTTCTCCCTTCATCCACTTTTCGGTTGTCTGTCCCCCAGGGAGGAGGTCACACACAGTTCCATGTAATCGGTTCCCTCTTTCCTACCCATTCTCCCTTGACCCTCCCTGTTTTGCCACTCACACCACTGGTCCTATAGGGCTCATCCATCCTGGATTCCCTGTATTTTCAGTTCCTATCTGTACCAGTGTACCTCCTCTGGTCTAGCCAGTCTTGCAAGATAGAATTTGAGTCATGGTAGTGGGAGCGGGGAGGAAACCTTTAGGAACTAGAGGAAGGTTGTATTTCTCATCATTGTTACATCGCACCCTGACTGGCTCATCTCCTCCCTGAGACCCCTCTGCAAGGGGATCTCCAGTGGCCTACAACTCTATAGCTTTTAGACTACTTGTGAGCCAGTCTTTGCTGGCTTGGAACTTAGTGGTGTGTGTGTATGAATGAATTCTCCCTTGTGTTGATCTCAATACAATGTTTTATGACTATATATACGTATTCAGTATGTGTATATGCATATATATAGATAATAATCCCTATGCACACACACATATGATTTCTGCCCAACTTTTCTTGCCTATCCCTTCTCTACCTACATATGTACCATTTCCAGGATCCCTCCCATCCAACAATTCCTTGGGGATATGGAATAAAGAAAAAGAAGAAGGCACAGGAAAGATCCAAAGTCTTCCCAAATGTAACTAGAGTCATATATTTTATTTGAGTCTCATCTCTTGGGAGACAGGGAGACAGAAGTAAGTTAAAGATGGTCTTGCAAAACGCCCAGCGGTATGGGGTGGGGGTGAAGAAGGAACACCTTCACTTAGAACATCTTGTAAAGGTTCAATGGAGTCAGCCTGGATTGTGAGTCCAGAGATAATTCTTGCCAATTAGTATTGTGCTCTGAGAGCATGTGATCCTGATGGTGACAGAAAGCCAGTGGATGGAGGAGTCACAAGGCAAGTACTACAAATTGGTATCAAGTCAAGGTCTTCTGACCAAGCAATCCCTCTTTGGGAATGGAGAATTTGCCAAGGGAAAATCTGCCCCATTACATCCAGTCTTCCTCCCAGGGACCTTCAGTATTACTGCTTTTGGATAATAGAAAATCCTTGTGTGGATGCCTATTGTCTATTGAGCGTGTGGCCACAGTCTTATATGAAGGCCGATGGTACGGTGGAGACTGGAGAAGAGTCTTAGACCTGGGTTTGAGCTCGGGCTCAGGGTCGGTTTCTGTATCTGCCTCTGGCTCCAGCTCAGTCTCAGGCTCCATTTCAGGTTCCACCTCTGATTCCTGCTCCAGCACCCTGGCCAGGTCTAGGTCCAAATATAGCTCATTCTCTTGTTCTGACTCCAGCATTGGCTCCATCTCCAGCTCCGAGTCTTCCATTTCTGGCTTTAGGACCACAGGTCTGTAGTTTAGATTTGTACTTTTTTGGATTTCTAGATTACTGTTGTATGGTTGATACCTGGGATCTTCATTCTGAAATACACACGATGAAGTAGGTTAACATTCCCAAGCAATTGAGACTCGTGAGCACAAAGAATCTCAAGATTTGAAGTGTCCCAAGCATGAATTCCTGGTGAAATAGGGGGGTGGTGGAGGGGGGTGTCTTGCTTCAATCTGTTTTCCATCCTCTTTGCACTTTCTAGGAGCCCTGGTGGTAGTGTAATTACACATTGGGCTACTAACTGCAAGCTTTGAAACCACCAGCCATGCAGCGGGGCTTTCTGTTCCCACAAAGAGGTACAGTCTCTGAAACTCATAGGGGCAGTTCTACCCTGTCCTATATGGTTGCTATGAGTTGGCATCGACTCCATGGCAGTCAATTGGGTTTGGGTTTGGTTGGTACTCTGATTCCTCAGTTACTCATTACTTTTCAGGTCCACCAGTCTCTAACTCCTGATTTCTCTGGCTTTTCTAGCTAGCATGAAGTGCACAGCAACCACTGAATTGACAGTGATCTTGACAGCTTTCTGAAACACCTTGTCTTCTGGGTCTTACTTTTTTTACCAACCTTGAATGCAATCTCTGACAGGGCCTGCAAGGGCCTTCGTGATCGGGCCTCTTGCCACCCTTAGTTTTTATCTCCAGCTGTGCTCTCTACTCTTTGGTCTGGCCACAAAGTTGCCCAAAGCTACCTGACTATTGCTTACCTTTGCCTACCACATTTTCATCTCATCTACAAACACTTATGCCAGATTCTGAGCAAAGATAACCAATCGGGATCAAAGCTTCCTTTGTGTTCCAACAACAGGCCATTCACACTTTCTGAAACCAGAAAATCCAGACCCACTGCCATGCCATGAAGTTGACCCTAACTCATAGCCTTCTATGAGTAGCATGGCCCCCGGGGTTTCTAGCTATTTAGAAGGGCAAATGGCCTCATCTTTCTCCCATGGAATGGCTGGTGGGTTTGAGCTGCTGACCTTGTGGTTAGCAGCCCAACACTTAACCTGCTGTGCTACCAGTGCTTCTTACGTGGCTCTCATAGTACCAGCAATATATGACCACCTTATTTACAAACTTAACTCACTTCCTTGAGGTAGGATAAAGCCTGGGGCTTCTCTGTCTATTCTCTCACCATCGATGATCTCATTTAGTCCTATATATTTTTTACTGCCACTTGTGTGGCGGTGACTCTTTGGTTATAACCCTTCCTTCTCCTAATCAGAAGGCTCATACATCCACTTGCCTTCTTCACATCACCACTTGGATATCTAAAAGGTATATTCAAGATAATACATCTGAAAAGAAATTGTTTCTCTCAACTTTTCTATCTTAGATGCCAGAAAAGATTCAATATATTCAATATTCAAAAAAGTATGCAAGTCCTTAAGAATAATAGTTCACCAGAACAATATTTTTAAAAAAAAACAACTGTCACCAAGAGACTCAATGGAGATACAAAAGAAGCTATTCTCATTCAATTCAGGAGTAAGACATCACTATTATTTAAATTGCTCTAGAAGGTCAAGAAAATGTAATAATATATGATACTGAAATAAAAATGCTAATCATTGGGAAAGGAAGAGATTAATATAAATATTTTTAAAGTTCTCCCTAGAAAACCCAAGAAAATTAATACCGAAATGCCTCTTAATATTGACTGGTCACAAGGAAGAGATGAGCCAATCAGGGTGCAGTATAGCATTGATGAAACACACAACTCTCCTCTCCTCTAGTTCCTTAATGCTTCCTTTCCCCCACTATCATGACCTCAATTTTACCTTACAAATTGGATTATACCAGAATATGCACACTGCTATAGATAAGAGCCTGCTACACAGGGAATCCAGGGTAGATAAACCCCTCAGGGCCAACAATGAGAATAGAGATACTAGGAGGATAAGGGGAAGGTGGGAGGAGAAAGGGGGAATCGATCACAAGGATTCACATATAACCCCTTCCCAGGGGGACAAACAACAGTAAAGTGGGTGAAGGGAGACAGAGGACGATTTAAAATATGAAAATAATAATCTATAATGTATCAAGGGTTTATGAGGGAGGGAGGATAGGGGAGGGAGGGGGGAATGAGCTGATATAAAGGGCTCGAGTAGAAAGAAAATGCTTTGAAAATGATGATGGCAGCATATGTACAAATGTGCTTGACACAATAGATGATTGTATGGATTGTGATGAGAGATGTAAGAGCCCCAATAAAAGCAATTATATAAAAAAAGATGACTAGTAAGAGGAGTCAGAAATGTGGTCAAATTTTACAAACATCAGTAGGTTTCCAGAATGATAGCCATTGGCAACTAGAAAAGATAATGGAAAAGATCCATTTTTTCAAAAGTGATGAACGTGTAAACTATATAAAGCAGCTAGGATGGTCTTATGAAAAAGCCACAAAACCTTACAATGAGGCATTTTGAAGGTGAATGGATACATTGGATTGTATAAGATATGGCTAAATAAATAAATAAAATATAGTATAATATAAAGGTTCCTGGGGGGGGTGTCAGAGTGGGGGAGGGAGGGGAATAAAGGAGAGCTGATATAAAAAATGTCAAGAAGAAAGAAAATGTTAAAAAAAAAAGAAAATGTTTTGAAAATGATAGTGGCAGCAAGTAAAATTATGTTCAATCTAATCGAATTATGGATTGTTATAATAGCTCTAAGAGTTCTCAATAAAATGATTAAAGGCTGAACAAATGTAAAGAAAGCTTTTGTCCCTAGAGAATGAATACTGTTAAATGGAAATTCTCAAATTATTTTATAATTTAATAAATTATAATTAAATAAATTATAATGAAGCTTTAATAAAACTAATGAAAATTCCAACAGGATAAGCAGAGACATCTAACATGCGAGAAGTCTCCGCAAAACAAGGGAAATACTTGATAATGAATTACTTTAAAGAGAGTGATAAAGGTCATGTACAAGCTTGAATAATTTTACTTTTTTTCTTCTTGGAATTTAAAACCAAAGCAAAAACACTTATTACCATGGCAATCCTTTCTTGTCATAAAAAAGCAAACATCATAGAATTGTGCTAAGTCAAAGACTTCACTTAGTTTAATTTTAAAATCATTTCCAAATATTAGATAATATTTCAGTGTCAACCTGTGTTTTAGTTTCCTTTGGGTGGGGGTGTTATTGGTGGTGGGGGCAGGGCCTTAACTTATGCAAATACTGATTTAAAAAAACACAGGAGTCAGCCCCGGCTTTTTCTGAATGGTCACTAATGGCTCATGTCTTTTGCCTTTGGCCAAGCTGAGTTGATTTCGAGAATCTAAATGACAGCCAATGTGTTAAGGCGGCAGAGCCACTTAGACCTCTACCTGTAGTAATGAGCTCATCGTTCACCCTCGTTTCCGTTGACTAGTTCATCAATCCTGCTACTTCACAGATGGCCTTGCTGTTCTCACCCCCAGTGTGGGGGTGGGGAGGGAAGGGGTGGATTCTAGAATTATAGGTAGGAAAGATCTTTTAAATACTTAGGCCTTGGTGGTACGGCTACTTCGGAAAGGGCTGTGAGTGAGATGAAGATACCCTGACAGCAGGGGCACAAAGCCACTGCTACTTGCCAAGAGGTCCTTTCAACAGGACAAAATCCAGGCATAACCACAGCTTTCTTGGACATTGCCCAGCTCTAGCCGGGCTTCTCTCCCGCCCCACCCCACTCTGTTCCACCCCACCCCAAGATGCTTGACACCATCCAACCTTTTCTGAGTGGGTCTCCTGTATCACTGTCTCAGATTCATCCACGCTTAACTCCGAGTCTAGCAGCCTCCTTCTTAAGGCAAACAGCACAGCGTCGTGGAGGGTCAGGAACAGCTGGGCCTTGGTGATACCAGCATCAAAGAAATCATTCCTCTCAAATGTCCTGACCACAGAAGCTATAAGCCAAACCCAGAACAGACACAGTCAGACACCTTCGGGGCAGAGCAGCCAGTGCGAAAACCACAGCCCTCTCATGGGGTGAAAGATACTCACAGTGACACCCTGCCAAGAGCACCATGACGTTGGCGTTCTGGAAAGCATTGCACATCTATTGGGGAGAGGACATCAGTGTCGGGGAGCGTGGCCATCGACTACCAAAGGGCTTTCTAATGCACCAAGTTTAAAACGCCTTTGGCTATTCACTTGTCTAGAGGGTATGTAGATTTAGACTCCCCTTTCCTTCCAAAACATGTGAAGGGTGAGCTTCTAGATGCCAGGAAATGCGTGAGTACCAGGAAGGCAAAAAGAGGATCAGACTGTCTCTTGTGGGGGTTGCCAGGGGGTGGGGGGCATGCATATTATAGTCTTCAGTTGTTCACATAGGAAAATCATGTTGGCATGAAGTCAGTACCAGGCCAGAGATGGTCCGGTTGTGATGGGAACGTGCATGGTGTGACCACTTAGTGTTTGTGTGTGACCCCTACTCCCTGAAGTTCACTGAGTAGGGAGTAGGGAAAATGTGGCCCCAGAGACAGCCAAGCAAGACAGTAGGGAATGCAACTTTGCAGCATAGCTTGAGATTTCATTCTCTACTGTCTTGCTGCCATCAAGTCAATTCTGACTCGCAGTGACGCTATAGGGCAGGGTAGAACTGCCTTGGTGGGTTTCCGAAATTATTCAAAAAAATAATAATTTTTTTTTACTTGTGCAAAGCTAATATGTAAGTCATATAATATACCTATTGCTAAAATTAACTTTATGACTATCCTTTAAAAAAAATTATTTTATTGGGGGCTCGTACAATTCTCATCAAAATCCATACATCCATCCATTGTGTCAAGCACATATGCACATTTGTTGCCCTCATCATTCTCAAAACATTTGCCTCCCCTAATATCAGTTGCTCATTTCCCCCTCCCTCTCTCTACCCCCTTCCTCAGGAACCCTTCTTAGTTCATAAATTATTATAGTTTTGTCATAAGTTACCCTGTCCGATGTTTCCCTCCACCCTCTTCTCTGCTGTCCATCCCCGAGGGAGGAGGCAATACTTAGATTCCTGTAATTGGTTCCCCCTTTCTACCCCACATTCCCTTTACCCTCCAGGCATCACCCCTCTCACCACTGGTCCTGAAGGAGTCATCTATACTGGATTCCCTGTGTTTCCAGTTGCTATTGTACTAATGTAATCCTCTGGTCCAGCCAGATTAGTAAGGTAGAATTGGGATCATGATAGTGGGGGGGGGGGTAGCATGAAATAACTAGAGGAAAGTTATATGAAACTGTCACTCTTGATAGGTAGGAGTAGAAAGCCTCATCTTTCTCCTTCTGAGCAGCTCCTTTCGAAGTGCGGACCGTGCTGGTAACCGCCCACTACAACAACAGGGCTCCTCAAACATCACACACTGACCTCAAACTTACTTCAGTTGCAATATATTAGAAGCCATACATCTTGAAGTTCACTTCAAAGTATATCATTATAAAGTTATACTCCAAGACAGTAGAATCCCACTCCAACCCTGAGCACAAAGATAAAACATCAAAAGGAGTGTAACAGTGCCAAGTGGAAACCAGAAAGCCATTCTTGGTCACATAGGAAATCATCAGGTCATAGGTGAAGGGTCACAATGGGCAACACTCTAAATGGCAAACACACGGGAAAGGTACATCTCCAGGTGTATGAAGATGCTGGCACTCTCGACTGCGCTGCTGAGGTTTTTCTTAGTAATTTGAACGTTCAATTACAATGCGAACAGAGTGCAATGGTCTCCAGCAAGCAGCAGAGAGCAGTGATCAAGGGCGTGAAGAGCCCTGTGGTTTTGAAAGGTGCAAGTGCATGGGCCATGGCTCCCTGCAGGCTGTAAGGCGGAGGGTCTGGCCTAGTCTCCATGTTGGGGATGGAGCACTAGGTTATCATCAGAGGCCAAAGTGGAGGCTGGAGGTTAACAAGAAGATTCGCTGGTGACCCCATGACAAAGGGTGGGATGACACAACTGTACAGTGGGACGCACAGGAAGAGTGATGTGACGTTAGGTGCTCTGCGTTCTGAGCCTGGCCAGGCCATTTGTTAATTGAGAGTTGAAGGAGAGAATACGGCCCCTCTCTCCAGGCTGTTGTGAGAACGAATTGAGACCATGTATGAACACACCCAACTCGACCATGCATATAGTAGGTATTCCATCTTGTGGGATGAATGAAGTCTAAGGTAACAATTACAGGGCATGGCTGGCAGATGAGACTCTTAGACCAGCGGGACTACAAAGATGAACGAATGAAAAGGACATTTGAGTCTAAAACTAGAGGTGGGGGTGGGGAGATCCAGTGGATGGGGAAAACTCAACATTCATCTCTTCTTGGCATCGCATGTTATCTATGAGGAAACTGAGGTGCAGTACAATTTAGCATAATGCCGTGGGTCAGGTGGGACAGTCAGTAGCAAGGGCAGGATACAACACTCATCTCTTGGACCACCAACCAGTGTTCTTGCTGCTGTGAAAGGCTTCCTACGGCTTCCGACCAAAGAGGAGCTGTACTCTAGCAGTGTATGCCCATAGGAATGAGAAGGTAGGATAAAATCTGATAAAAGAAGGAAAATTGGCCAAAGGAGCAAGAGTAAGCTAGGGTGCCATGAGAACCAGGAAGTAAGTGTCCAGCCATCACCAACAGTAGCCAGAGGGAGAGAAACTGCTGTCAAGATTCCATCTGCCCTGTCTGAGAAACATACCGGACGAGTACTGACCGCAGGACAGAGTTCAGAGGAGTTCGGAAAGAAGGATGCATGGGAACCAGGACCTCGGGAAGTGGCCTCCATGGTGTTTACCTTGTGGAAGGTACAAGCAATTACATGAAACAAAACGTGGGTGTGATTTGTCGAAAGGAAAAGTAGTATTCTCTGTAAACCATCACCTAGGAGAAATGGATCACACTAACGAGACCTTTTTCCTTTCTTTCTTTCTTTTTTTGACATGAAGGAGTCCTGATGGCTTTGGATTGCTAACTGCAAGGTTAGAGGTTCAAACTGCTGCTCTGAGGGAGAAAAGTGAAGCTTTTCTGCTGCCATAAAGATTGACTGTCTCGGAAACCCTCTAGCAGGTCTCCAGTCGGAAGTGAATGGATGGCAGGGGGTTATGAGACATTAAACAATGAAGCCAACAGGGTGAGCTGTGCATCTTAATTGCAGTGTACAAGAGAGAGTGAAACGAAGACGGTTGGAGAAACCAGAGTGTAGGAGAGAAACCAGGATCCAGGGATGCAGCTTTTGAAGGAAACAAACCTGCCCAAAGATGCAGGCTATGGTGAGGGAACTGGGAAGGACTGAAGAGAGGGGAGAGACCACCTCAAGGTGGATGTGTCATCTCATCACAACTGTGTTAACTCTCAGTAAAATGCATCCCCGGGTCTTGTTCAGTGCCTGGTTCCCAGGAGCTAAGTCATGGAGATTTCTTGGTGAGCATTTTTCTGCAGCATTCAGGCATTCCTTGAAAAGACCTGCAGCGGTGGGCCTCCACTCAAGTATGCCCTCAATGCAAGAACACTTTGTTCTACTAAACTGGCCGTCCATGATGCTCACACTCCCGACATGATTGCTGAAGACAAAGTGGGTGCATAAGCAAATGTGGTGAAGAAAGCTGATGGAGCCCGGCTATCAAAAGATATCATGTGTAGGGTCCTAAAGGCTTGAAGATAAACAAACGCCCATCTAGCTGAGAAACAACAAAGCCCACATGAAAGAATCACACCAGCCTGTGTGATCACGAGGTATCAATAGGATCAGGTACTAGGCATCAAAGAACAAAAATCATATCACTGTGAATGATGGGGAGTGTGGAGTGGGGATCCAAAGCCCACCTATAGACAACTGGACATCCCCTTACAGTAGGGTTGCAAGGAGCAGATGAGCCAGTCAAGATGCAGTATAGCAACGAAGAAACATATAACTTTCCTCTAGTTCTTTAATGCTTCCTCCCCTCCACTATCATGATCCCAATTCTACCTTAAAAATCTGGCTAAACCAGAGGATGTACACTGGTACAGATAAGAGATGGAAACATGGGGAATCCAGGACAGATAAACCCCTCATGACCAATAATGAGAGTAGCGATACCAGGATGTTAAGGGGAAGGTAGGGTAGAAAGGATCTACATATAACCCCCTCCCTTGGGGATGGACAACAGAAAAGTGGGTGAAGGGAGACGTCAGACAGTGTAAGGCATGACAAAATAATTTATAAATTATCAAGGGTTTGTGAGGGATGGGGGCGGGGATGGAGGGGAAAAATTAGGAGCTGATACCAAGGGCTCAAGTAGAAAGCAAATGTTTGGAGAATGATGACGGCAACAAATGTGCAAATGTTTGGATGGATGGATGGATGGATTGTGAGAAGAGTTGTATGAGCCCCCAATAAAATGATTTTTTAAAAGAAAAATAAATAAATAAAGGGGTAAAACAGAAAAGACCTGTAGCTAACTCCCCGGACATAGTGGGGATCTCGGGGCATGGCCTGCATTTCTGGTGGGTTTCTGGCATTGGCATTATTCCTTGCGAAATAAGACTGCAACTTTTAAAACTCTGAGTAAAAGCTCTCCCGGAGTCTTGTACAATAGGCGCCATGCCTACTAAGGCAACCCAGAATTTAATCAATCAAATTTGTCTTATTTGTATCTTTATTCTAATTGACCTTAAGCTACCTCCAGTGGTGGAAGTTGGGAGCCCTCGCAGGCTCTTATGAAAGTACTTACCTGCCTTAAGATGACTGAAGCCTGAGGATCCACAAAATGGACCATAGAGAAATCCAGGATGATGGTGTGGATGGCGGGCAGAAGAGAAACATCGGAATAGGGTAAGTATGATCTACTTCTCATTTGACTTTCAGCTCCTTCAGGTGAGGCTCCTGCGCTTATTCTTGAGGGGTTATTGGGAACCCAGACTTTCTCCACCTCCTCCAGGTTTTGCCCCTGGTTTCTCTGAGATACGGACGATACTGTGTATGGTACTTGCTCATCGGATGTGGTAGCCTGGCTGGTGACGCTCTCTAAGCGTGAGCAGCGGATCAGGTTGATAGAGGAGGAAGAATGGATGGATTGGGGCTCAAATTGCTCCGTGTAGATAACCTGGAACAACAACATTAGGGATGGCTGGGAGGCGATGCCGAAAAGGCTGCAAGTCCTTGCCACTCTGCTGTTTCCATTTGCCGCCTCACTCCCTCTCTTTTGCAGCTCCCTCCCAGATTCCTTCAGGGCAACGGGATAGAACCGCCCTACTGGGTTTCTAAGACTGCAACTCTTGATGGGAGGAGAAAGCCTCCTCTTTCTCCTTTGGAACAGCCAGTGGTTTTGAACCGCTGACCTTCTTGTTAGCAGCGCAATCAATGTGAAACGCACTGTACCACCAGGGCTCCCCCTTCCCAGAGGAGGTACTGCTCATTTTCATTCCAAGATAATGACTAAAACCTCATTCATCTTTTCTTATCATCTCCACTGATGGCAGCCCCCTCCCAATTCTCCTATGTCTATCAATGATGTTACTGTTGTCCTAGTGACTCAAACTCAAAAGCATCATTGATTTATTCCTTCCCCTCATTCCTAATAGTCTCCAATGCTGACTAACACACTGAAGTATTTTTATCCATCAGTCCCTTCTCTCCACACCTCTTTTTCAACACCCTACCTATCTTTTGTCAGACTTCCTGACAGGCAAAAATGACTTGGGCAGGGCAGTCTTTAGCTCCCTAATAGGCCTTAGGTGTCTGCTTTAGATTATACCCAGCCTCAAGCACTGGGGTCCAGTGACATGCAGGCTGTGCCCCCAGAGGAGGGATCAGACCCCACTGAGGGCAGCAAGGGTATAGCAACACTGGTGGATAGGCTCTATTGGGCACACAGAAAAAGGAAAAGAATTCATTTGCTAGCTAGTGTGGTATAAGGTTTCTGCCTTTTTAAAAGTTATTGTTCTGATCCTGTTGCTTTGGAAGTATATTTTGAAAACAAGAAGGAGTGAAAGATTAAAAAAACCCATACATGATGGTATATAGTATATAACAACAATAACAAAGAACAAGCGTGGATAGACAGGGTTATTTATCATTGAAAGGAGGAGGATACCTCGAAGTTCAAAGTCACTGAGGCTGGGCCTTAGGGGTACTGGTGGGGCTTGGTCTGTGGTGAGGAGATGCAAGATCCTCCAGACAGAAGGGAAGCTACGAGCCTTCCATGTGTCTTCTTTAACTTGTCTTTCAAGGACTTCCACAGTTCCATTCACGCTTACCTGCCTGCCCTCATTCCCACACCAGACCTCTTACTCTGAGAACCTATCCTTATTCCTACCTCAGGGGCTTTGCCCAAGCAGATTTGTAGACCTGGGGTCCTCCTTATCCCTCTCCAACAACACTCCAAATGTCACTCTTCTGAGCTGCACATGCCCATTCTGCTCATGAAATTTCTCTTTTGAGCTCACACTCATCTGCCCCCTTAGCTAAAGCCATATAGGTGTCAGGACCTAGCACACAATTCAGAACACCTGGAGCAGTTCACTAGCCTGTTTTGTCTGTCTTGAAACACACTGTTATTACAGTGCTACCAAGAAAGCAAACACTGAGTTAAACTGACAGGCCATCAGTGGCATGTTGCATCCAGTTTCAGAGCTGTTCAGCGATTTCAGGATTGATATTATATCATTATGTCTTTAGATGTCACATGCAGATGGAGTCATTGCGGTAACTGGAATTGTAGCTTCATTCATTGTTTCAGAATAGTCCCGTGTACAAGAGTTTTTCTGCTCTGGGCTCTGCCTGTGTCTGTGTTCAAAAGTTTCCATGAAAACAAAAATGAGTAACTCCCTGAAGACAGTGGAGCTCAACTACTCAGTGGCTCCCCATAACATTCTTGTTTTCCTTTTTCGTCACATCTTAGTTGTGGGGACAGAGTAGGCACTCAACAAATTTGGGACAATCCTGGTCTACTCTAAAGAGTACCTGTAGATGTCCCATACGTGTTTCTCCACCACACTCGGCACACGATGTGTGCCACATGCAGGTAAAACAGAGTGCTAATTCTGCCTTCTCGGCAAAGGAGTTGGAGGAGATGTCTTTTTTTTCCTAAAACAGTTGTATTGGCACTTAATCCACATATCATAAACGATTCACTTGTTCAGTCATACCAAGAAGAGTTGTACAATCATTACCACAATTTTAGAGCATTTTCTTCTCTTTTGTACTCATTGTTATCAGCTCCCCATCCCCCCTGAGCCTTTCCTGACATACTTCCAAAAAATCATTAATCCAGTTACTGTCTCTATAGGATTTACCTAGCCTGAATTTTAAATACAACATACAACAATTTTATGAAAAACATACAACGAAAAAACCAATAACAAAGTAAAACAGAAAAAACCTCAATTGAAAAGAAAGTAGAAAATATTAAGAACTAGAACAACCTAAAATGGGTTAAAACAGAGATCAAATGACAAGTTTTCATCTAACTCTATCTGCCATAATCCACTTTCCAATGCACGCTGCCTGATAGCAAGCCCACTCGCATCTCTGGTCGATGGTCCAAGGGGACTCGCTGGAGGCTAATCCACATGCATTTCACTTTTACTTTTTCTTTTTTAATCATTTTACTGGGGGATCATACAACTCTTATCACAATCCATACATATATACATTGTGTCAAGCACATTTGTACATCTGTTGCCTTCATCATTCTCAAAATGCTTACTCTCCATTTAAGCCCTTGGTATCAGCTCCTCATTTTTTCCCCTCCTCCCTCCCCGCACCCCCCAGGAGATGTCTTTTGAACTTCATTAACCAGGTTATGAGAGGACAGTTGGTATGTTTGGGGAATTCTGTAGGACCTAAGCTTCATATGGGAATATGGGCACTCAGTGTTTGAAAGGGTAAGGCATGTGGGTTGTGGGTCCCCACGGTTGGCAGTTCAAAGCCACCAGCCACTCTGGGGAAGAAAAGTTCTGACCATCTTCTCCAGTAAAGACTGCAGCCTCGGAAACCCTATGGGGTAGTACTGCTCTGCCTACAGGGTCGCTCTGACTCAGAACCAACTTGACGGCACACAACCAACAACAAGAAGGAAGGGTAAGGCAGTGGGCAGTGGCAGTGATGGGTATCAATTATAGGCTGTCAACTGGATGGCTACAGAAAGGCCCCAAAGCTAGAAATGTGACACCCTACTTTAGGGGGAGAGAATACTTAGGCCAGTTCGGGGTTGGAAATAACAAACACTTTGTGACTCTCATCAGCTGAGAGATCAGGGCTTCAAAAATGAGGACCTAATGCCGGAGGTTTAAGTGGAGAGGAAATGTTTTGAGAATGACGAGGGCAATGAATGTACAAATGCACTTTACACAATTGATGTGTGTATGGATTGTGATAAGAGTTGTGTGAGCCCCTAATAAAATGATTTAAAAAAAAAAGTTGGTGGGAAAATCCACCAATGTTTCGAAGCCCCGTTGTCTCTTCCAAATCCAAACCTATTGCCATCGAGTCAATTCTGCCTCATAGGGTGGCTATGATTGTATCTACCCGGATGTTATGAAAGCTTTCTGGAATAGCAGCCTATACTTGGTGCTCCGTCTTGCACTCTCCACCTCATGTTTCTGATCATAGGCAGCTATCAGGAGACCCTGGAAGACCCTGGAGAACCCCCACACACACACACCCTTGACCTTGCCCCAGCCAAAATTGGGCAACATTCTTTGTTTGTTTTATTTTTTGAAAAATACTTTTATTGGGGCTCTTACATCTCTTATCAGAATCCATACATTTCTCCAATATGTCAAGCATGTACATATATGCCGCCATCATCATTTTCAAAGCATTCTCTTCCCACTTGAGCCCCTGATATCAGCTCCCCATTTCTTTCCCCCTCCCTCCACGCCCGCCCTCTCTCATGAACCCTTGATAAGTTATAGATTATTTTTTCTATGTCTTACATCATCCTCCATCGCCCCTCACCCACTTTACCATTATTCGTCCCCCTGGGAGGGGATTCTAGGTTGATCCTTGTGATCGATTCTCCCTTTCTCCCCCCACCCTCCTCTAATCCTCCTAGTATTTCTACTCTCCTTGTTGGCCCTGAGGGGTTTATCTATCCTGGATTCACTTTGTTGTAGGCTCTTATCTGTAACAGTGTGCATGCTCTGGTCTAATACAATTAGTAAGGTACAATTGAGATCATGATAGTGGGGGGAAGGAAGCATTAATGAAATAGAGGAAAGTTGTGTGTTTCATCGGTGCTATACTGCACCCTGACTGGCTCATCTCTTCCCTGTGATCCCTCTGTGAGGGGATGTCCAATTGTCTACAGATGGGCATTGGGTCTCCACTCCATGCTCTACTCCCCACTCACCTTGCGTATGGTTTTATTCTGGGTCTTAGATGCTTGATACCTGATCAATTGGGCAACATTCTTAAAGTCACTTATTGTCATTAATCTTAAGCTGGCCAGCTTAAAACACACACACACACACACACACTCACTCACTCATCACTGCCACCATGTCAATTCCAACTCCTAGAAACCCAGAGGACATGGTAGAACTGCACCCATGGGTTTCCAAAATGGTACCTCTTTATAGGAGTCGAAAGCTTCATCATTCTTCTAGCAGTTTCTAAAACCCAAATCAAAACCCCTCAAGGATTGACGGGATGGCAGTGAGTGAGTGAGTGCAGTTTATAACATGTGAGGGACATGCGAGCAATAAGAAATGTTCCTAACCCTGGGAGGTGGATCCGGCTCGTCACAGTTGCAGAAAAACTTACAACCTCTTTCTAGGTCTCTGTTGACATGCGTGTGGTGGCTACTCTGACCAAACAGGCCATAGACATCTTCTTCTGTAAGACACACCTTTATCATGTCCATCTGGAAGGGAGAAGAGGGTCAAGTCCTGAGGGTAAATGGTAGGAAAGAGGGCAAAAGGGGGAGGCGAGGGGGGCCCAGGGCAGGTAGAGACAGACAGAAGGCTACATGGGTACCTCTTTTAACAGCTTGCGCTTCAGCTGGTAAATGTTGACAAACGTAATGGAGTTGCAGCACTGGAAGATTTTTACCCCAGGGATGTTTGTTATCTGTCAGGTGAAAGGTTAAATGGAGGGAAATTTCTCAGGCCCAAATACCCATCAACTGATGAATGGATAAACAAAAGCCCTTCTAGCCACAAAAACACAAAGCAGCTCATTGCCAGAGTCAATTCTGATTTCTAATAACCCTGTCTAGGGCTTCTGAGATGTACATCTTGATGGGAGCAGACTGCCTCGACTTCCCTGCCGCTCTCCCCTACCCACGCCCACCCTGCCGCCTCAGGGGTGAATGGTGGGTTTGACCCACTGACTTTGTGGTTTCAATACCTAACCACAGTGCCACCAGGCTCCTTGTTCTATCCACACAATGGAATATTATTCAGCCATGAAAAGAGTTCTGACACATGCTATAACATGCTATAACATTGATGAGTCATGAAAACATTACGCTGAATGAAAAGAGCTAAGGACACATGAAAGGACAAATACCGTACAATCCCACTTATTTGAGGTAGCTGCCCTAAAAAAACCACATCCCAACCTACTGCTATCAATGGATTCCAACTTGGCAACCCCACAGGACAGAGTTGAGCTCCCTGCTGGGCTTTCCAAGACTCTAAGTTTGTATGTGAACAGACAGCTTCATCCTTCACTTGTGAAGTGTCTGGGACGTTCGAACTGCCGACTTGGTGGTTAGCAGCCCAGTGCTTAACGCCCTGCACCATACCAGTCTTTCTCAGGAGGAATCTAGAACCAGCAAATGCATAGAGACAGAAAGTAGGATAAAGGTTTCCAGGGGCCTAAGGAGCTGGGCACATGGAGTTCATCACTTCATGGGTACAGAGTTTCTGTTTGGGGTGCTGAAAACGCTATGGAAATAAATGATGGTGGTGGCTGCAAAAATTGATGAACAAATGAAATCTCTCGAGAACCTCCTAGAGAAACTATCTGCCTTGTGAGAGACAAAAAAAAAAAAAAGAAACAAAGAGAGAGAAAAAATCCACCCCCTTGCTTTTCCGGCTCACTTCATTTCCCCTCTGCTTCCCGACTCCTTTTTCTTAACTCTCCTTTCCCCTCAAGTACACTTTTAAAGCACCCCTCGGCATTCTGTGGTACCACAAAGAGGTGTCTGCTTCAGTGGCTGCCCCTACCCTCCTGCATCCCTCTCCTCTCCCCTTCCTTACGGGTCAGCTGTCACAAACGGCAGCGAAGATGCACCAGGGGTAGACGAGGCCACGGGCCTGGCCTGTACCATCCCCTGGCCACAGACGTGATGTGGGCTCTTACCTCCCGGTAGTCATTGATGGCCCTATAAATGTTGGTGTTGGGGATCTGCCCCAGGAGGTAAATCTTAGCTCTGAAAGGAAAGGACACATGGGTGCCGCACGTCAGTCATAATTCTCTCTCCTTACTCTGCCTGGCCTCCCATTTCCCTGAGATGAAGAAGTACCTGTGTGACTGGACGGTGATGATGAAGAAGGCAAAAGTTACTGAAACAACTAGTCCAACATCCAATCCCAGAAAAAGTGCAGATATGAATGTCATGATCCAGATGATCTTATGGAAAAGGAGAGGGGAAAAAAACATGAAAACAAGCAGAATTCAGAGAACAACTGGCCCTAGCCCTCAGCTCACCACCCTCCTTCCACTGGGATCTAGCCCCTGAGATTTAGAGAACAACATCCCACAGCCGTGTGCACTGGCACCACCCCAAAGAGACGTCCTCTCTCATCTCTTTTACTCTCACCCTCTCGTTCTCTCAGTTAGTTACATCCTTTACCAATGCCCACCCACCACCACCTTCATCATGCTTAGCCGGTGACCTTACAGAGGAGAGAGGCTGGAACTACCTTAAATACTTATTTCCCCTTTCAAGCTGGGCTCAACTTTCTTATTCAGGCTCAACTTTCCCTTGTTCTCTCCATGCTGCAGGAAGTACTATCCCTGCCCTTAGTCTGTCTGCGTGCTGGACCACAGTTCCTTAGCTCCTCAGGTACCTGCCTCCCCAAATGACCCCGCCTCTCTCTTAGTTCTTTGTTTCTGTTGAAGCCATGGCCTCTCATCCTATTAGATCTCTTGTCTTTTATGTACGTAGGTGGCATGGTGATTCAATATTGGCTTGCCACTCACAAGGTCAGCGGTTCAAAACCACCAGCCACTCCGTGGGAAAAAGATGAGGCTGTCTTCTCCTGTGAAGATTTACGGTCTCAGGAACCCACAGAGGCAGTTCTCCCCCGACCTGAAGGGTGGCTATGGGTCAGAATTAACTTGTTGGCAGGGACGGTTTAAAAATAAAATCTTTTATTTCTATTTTTCCCTTCCGGCTCTTGGTGTGTCCCAACAGAAAGGAGGGTGACCAAGGACCCCCTTGTCTTGTTAGGATTGAGGTTTCCTGTCCTGAAATGCAGGAGCCCTGATGGCACAGAGGTTAAACATGTGGCTTCTAACTAAAGGCCAGCAGTTTGAACCACCAAATGCTCCATAATAGGAAGACGTGGGCAGTTTGCTCCCATTACGGTGCAGAGGCTTGAAAACCCTGGGTGTGCAGTTTTACTCTGCTCTGTAGGGCTGCTCTGAGTCAGAGTGGACTCAGTGGCAGAGGGTTTGGGTTTCTGTTCTTCAACCTCAAAACATCCATGTTGATGTGAACTGGATTAAATACGATTCAAATATGCTGTGCGGGACAAACCCTTTGTGTTGTACATCTGTACACAACTGTAGCCACTAAGGAGTTCCTAAGCCGTGCAGATGAGGCAGGTGCTCATCTGCTAACCAGACGGTTGGAGGGTCAAGTCTGCCTTGAACTAAAGGCCTGGTGAGCGACGTCCCAAAAATCTGCCCTCTGGAGCATGCCATGAGTTGGAATCTACTTGCTGGCAGCTGGTTTGTTTTGGGGAGGGAGCAACATAATTGCTTTTATTTAGTTTGGCATCATTGGAATAGTCTCCATATTTTCAAATGCCAGCAACTTGGACTTCCTCTTAACAAGCCAAACTAGGGCTCCATGACTGGCCCCTTTTGTTTGTCCTCCTTTTCCTCTCTCTCACCTCCCCGTCATTCCCCTCCTCAAGCTCATTATGTACGTGCATCTATACTCACACAGTCATACTGGTCCTGCCTCCACAGAGCGGGGAGGTTGGAAATGGTTTCAAGGTAGGGTATCACGTTGCTTAGAATAATACCAGCCAACACAGCCTGTGGGAGGAAAGATAAACCTTGCTTCATTTTCTGTTCAGGACTAAAACCACCAAGTCCCCACAAAGGAGCCAAAAAGTATAGTTGGGGGATGGGGGGGGAGGCGAACAATCAGAATGGAAATAATGAGCATGCTGGCACATCATACAAAATGCAGCCAGTTTCACCGAACAATGTGTATAGGAGTTATTAAAAGGGAACCTAATTTGTCATGTAAACTTTCCCCAAATGCACAAAGTCCAGATGGCAGAGAGGAGGGGTGCGCTTGAAACGGTGCCAAGACGTGTTGAGTTCACAGAGCTGAGGGCTCAGCTGCAGCCCTGGAGCAGAGCCTCAACCTCGCCTGCAACCTCCAAGCCACTGCTGCCAGGCTCTTGCAGCTGCCACTGCTGCATGCCTTGTCCAGTCACCCTGCAGAGAAGACCTGGGCTGAGGTTGCTGGGCTTCCAGCTCCTACCAGGGCCTGGGCACTGTTTGGAGATCCCCCACACAGAGGCAGCCAATTATAGGTGCAAGTTGGTAAATTCTGAGGCTCCAGAGCTAAACTTAAGCGGGGGTTATGTTGATGTATGGGCATCAAAAATATACACATACCTATAAGTGTGTTCATACAATATTCAAATCATGTAATGTCCTATTTCACTGAACATATTGTGGACATTAAGTGGCATGTATCTATATTATTATTTTTTAAGTTGGTCAAATTTGCCACTCCGAGATATTTTCCACTGACATTACTATGTCCATATGTCAACTCATTATGCAATCAGATAGCCTGCATGTTTCCCTACTGCTTGTCTTCCTCTATCAGGACAAAGGCCTGACTGATTTGGTGGGTAACGATCCAACGAGCCCTCAGTTTGTTATTTACAGACACGGTGAAAGAAAGCCCCCTCTGTGTCAGTGCTTGTGATGGTTAATGTTATGTGTCCACTTGGCTAGGCCATGATTCTCAGGGGTGTGGCAGATATTATGTAATCATCTCTTTTTTGTGATCTGATGTTAATAGGGATTGAATGGGGATCCTTGGTAGTGTGGCCTGCATCCAATAATACACACACACACACACACACATACACACACACACATATCCTGTAAGCCAGCGGTTCTCAACCTGTGGGTTGCGACCCCTTTGGGGGTCAAACAACCCTTTCACAGGGGTCACCTGATTCATAACAGTAGCAAAATGACAATGATGAAGCAGCAACAAAAATAATGTTATGGTAGGGGGTCACCACCACAAGAAGAACTGTATTAAGGGTCGCGGCATGAGGAAGGTTGAGAACCACTGCTGTAAGTGCTCTCTTTCTCCATATTGTATTTGATTCTCCATTGTCTGGCCTCTGGCTGGGTTCATCAGCCTCTGCAGCAGAGTCACGAAAAAGCCTCCAGCCTTACACCTGACCCATAGATTAGAACTTGCCAGTCTCTACAACTATCTGAGCTGTTTCCTTGAAATCAATCTGTGTGTGTGCGTGTGTATGTGTGTTCCTCTGGACTAGAGAACCCAGTGTTGTTCATTTTTGGTGTGTGGGGCAACACTAACCCATCGAGGGCTGGCATCTTTGGCTATATGCCTTGTCTTCAGCTACTTGGTCTTACCTTGTCTGTGTGCCTGGCATTCTACATAGAATGGTCTAGATGATTAATTAAGGCAACTTCCACTCACAGAAACTCGAAAATAATTTCAATTAGGCATATATTCAAATTTATAGTTAACACTATAAATTGTTAACAGTAAAATCGCATTTTTTCCCATCAAATTCAATTAGCAAATTTAAAACCTTGCTAACACACGGTTTACATGGTTCTTGAGTATAAGAGAGTGTTACTCTTTTGGAAAATAACCTGGTGATATATCAAGAAATGCTGATAATACTTTTATAGAGAAATTTTATTTTAGAAATCCTAAATACAGAAAAAGGTAAATGTACAAATCTACTCATTGTCATGTTTATGTGTAATAACATGAAGGCAGAATATAATAACATATTATTATAATACCAGAAGGAGAAAACCGAATTTTCTAACAATAATGAAAGGATTGTTACCATATGTAGTACCATCTTATATATGAAATAAAACAAGGGTATAAAATTATACATGTGATCAGAACAGAACTATGCAAAGTGATAGCCATTCATAGAAAACAAATAGTGTTTGAACATGTGTCAAAGTGTTAAAGTGGCTTATTTGTGATTGTAAATGCCTGGTATTTGTTGTTGTTTGTTTGTTTGATTGGAGGGGGTCTATTATGAATACACAAAGTTTTTTAAATGACCATTTCTACTTTTTTAAAGGGAAGAAAGCTGCTCACATGTGACGAAAAAAGACGTAAACTCATAAGTGTATAAAAATAATCAGGTCCTGAAAGTAGAACCTAACCCATGTTACGAAACACCATCTTGTGTTCAGAAAGTCCCTGAGTTAACCTTTCTGTCTCGTTCCCTACATTCCTTTCTACATTCTCTGCCCAAGAATCAGAATTGATTCTCCCACCAGGAATGGCCGGGTCAACGCTAACCTTCTTCTGAGGGTACCTGACGACTCACCAGGTCGTGGATGAGGGACAGAGCAAACATAAAGCCAGCAGAAACGACTTCATTCCCACCATACCATCTCTTTCCCGGTCAAGTTGCTGGGAAATGGGGTGAAAAGGCAAAGGAACCCACCTGCCTAGGGTTTGGGGCTTGAGGCAGGGAGTATGGAGAAGAAGCCGGACTTGTCACAAAACAGCATTCTACAAGGAAATGGCTTACCTTCCTGAAGACTAAGGTAAAGTCTACTCATTGGATCGTGAAGCATTAATCTTACACACAACCCCTATCACCCAAGAGACAGCCGTTAACTTTTTCGTCTCTTCCCTCTACATTTTTCACATAAAAGTGGAACAGTGTTGAACATGTTATTTTTCAACGTGTTTTTCCCAAATGTGCATTGGTCCCCTTGCTAACTAGATGTAAGAATGATGCCATTAGCCCAAAGCAAGGTCTCTTCCTGTCCCCAGCACATTTAAAATAAAGGCGTGCTATCTACTTTTTATCACCACCCTTCAGTGAAAATTCTGACAATTTTTATTTGTTTGGGACTTATTTATTTTGCTGCTTCCAGCTATAAAGAAAAAGAAAAAGGAAGCACTATTCACAGTAAATTAGTGAATGGTCCTCCTAACTCCAATCGTTGCGGTAAAAAATGTGCTACATACACTTCTGCTGGAATCAGTGATAAGCCACTGATAACCACAAGCCTACTCTTGCTCGCCTTACGTAGATTCCAAGGAGGGACTCCCACATCCCTGACTCCCAAGAGCAGAAGACAGCAGCAGCAGCCTTGAGATGATCCTGATAATCACCAGGTGGATGTCTTCAAGGAGATCAGGCTAGTAGCAGTCACACCCACTCCAGCTTAGGGACTTCCACCTAGTTGATCATCAAACTGCTGCATCAGGAAAGGAACCTCCCACCTCCCTTGTTGTCATGAATTACCTTAGGATTATCTAAAAATGGCCAATGGGCATATTAAGGAAATCAAACAGAAATGATGTCCACTGAGCACTGGTCTACCTTAGACCTGACTGAGAACATCCAGTAGTTAACACTGTAAGTGCATCTCTAAGTGCAAAGTAACTCATGTCCTACAAAGGGAAGACATGGCCCATTCATATATAGACTCATCCTAACTGAACACAGAGTTGGAACTCAACTTTAAGGCCCTACCTTCTTAGTGTGAACTATCCAAGAGGCAGTGTAGGGACACAAGAAGAAATAAGTCCACATGACAGAGAACAAGGCCATCTGCAAACAGCTTTGGAAAACAGATGGCACAAGTACACAATCCGTTTCTAAGGCTGTATTGGCACTAAGGGTTCTGGCATCTGAAATCTATTTGGCCATTTTAAACGGAACCCATCCTTAGTAGCTTAAGCAATAAGACGATTAATGAGATGAGAATAATAATGTGTCTTGGCCACTTATCATAAGCCAGACACTGCTTTCTCTAAATGCTTTATATATTTGCATTATATATGTGTCTGTGTAATATACATGTGTAGATGTATATATAGATATGTAATGTGTGTGTGTGTGTATATATGAACAACTCTGTATAGTAAATACAATGACTTTAAAGGAAAGATATGAAGATAAGAGGGAACAACCGTTGGGGACAATCTGAATTGCAAGTCTCTTTCGAGGTGGCCCAGCTAGATGTGATCTGGAGATCTGGTTACTTACGTTCGGTATACTCTGGAAGAAGTGTCCCACCTTCACCATCAGCAGCAGCATCACACCTGCGCCTACCAGAGATGCACACTGAGGAGACAGAGCCAGTTGGAGAGAGACCATCAGGAACATATTGGTCCCTCTCTGTAACTGTGGCCTGCTGCTTGGTGAGAAGCACTTCAGTTTGGTTCATTTGTTCATTTTAAAGGAGTCATGAGCAACCATTCAACATTAATACATTTTTGTTGAACTGACATTTTCAGGTTTTATTTCTCAAAGTGCTAAGCACATGCTCAATAAAGACTTTTCTGGTTGCATCCGCATATCTATGGAAATAATATCTATGGCAATTGGTTTTAAATTTCTGAATGCTCTCTCACAATTGGTGATGGAAATACCTGTAACCAATAGACACTGGTCCCCGCCCCCTCAAGTGGCACCTAGGGCGCATGCCGTCACTGCCAGGCCCTGGAGACGCCTCTGGTTGAATGAACGCATGAATCCTCCAAAAGGCTCTAAAGGGCCCTGGGCACGGGAATCCCAGTGACCACGGTTCTGCACCACAGTTCGGGATCTCCTCAAGCCATGCGTGAGTTTTATCCTAGCTCTGAACCTTTCTTGCACAATTGACGAGGTGCCCAGGTGGCACAGTGGTGAAGCACTAGGCTGCTCACCATAAGGTTGGCAGCTTGAGCCCACCAGCTGCTCCACCAGAGAAAGACAGAGAAGTCTTGGTGCCATACAGATCGCCACCTTGGAAACCCGAGAGGGCAGTTCTACTCTGCCCCATGGGGTCACGATGAGTTGGAAAAACTGGATAGCAATGGGCTTAGACCGTTTATAAAATCCTCAATAGACTCCTCTCACTGGCAGCCCTAAAATCCCAACCATTCTATCTTCCCATACAAACATCTCTCCCGCACTTTCCTGCTTTGAGTCTGCATAGCTTCCCATGTAGCTGCTTAAAAAATACAATAAGGCCTCCCCATTTCTCTTTTCCATTTGTATGTCACTGGCATTTAAAATGTGACAAATGTAAATCAAGATTCATGGAGGGCTGACTCCTGGGAGCTTGGTACCACTTGGGAAGTGGCACTAACATGCCCCAAATGGAAAGCTACGAAACATAAAAACCCCAAGACCAAACCCACCATCCTGGAGCCCATGCCAACTCCTAGCGGGGCCTTTAAAAACTCAACACTCTCTGGACAGAGGTTTGCTCTCACTATATCCTCTCCTGGTTCAATTTTAAAAATAAATTTAACCCTAGTTATAAAAATATATAGATACATAATACATAAAACAATATAAAGCAGTGTCTTTTCCCCTGTGATGGGGGCGTGGGGGTATAAAACCATAACCACAAATCGAAACAGTGCCAAGAGCTGAGGGAGTTCCTTGAATCGAGTCCATTAAAAGACTACCCAGCAGTGATTCTCAGATTGTTCCCTTAATTACCTCCACCATCTCCGATCAGGCCCACCCCCACTTCTCCATGTGAAACATAATCTTCCTACCAAGTTCTCTCTCACTGTTGATTGCTATTGGCCTTCAAAATGCATCATTGAAACCAACAGCAGTGCACCCAGTGTTCTACTCCTTCTTCCCCTTCCCAGAGGATTCCCGGCTAACGTGAGCAGCCAAACTCGAAAGGCCTGAACCACGTAGGAAGATGCGTAGAAAGTGAGTCAGGGGAACTCACTGGAAGAGACTCAGAAAGCCCTAAAGGCAAACACTTGGTACTCCGTGGTGCTGAGACCTGTAACTGGACCCTTCACAGCCACGCCTGCTGCTGGGCCGAATTTACAGCTCCGGCTTCAGGTGTTCTTCGTTGGCACGGTGGGAAAAATATGGATGGGTCAGGAAAAGACTTGGACATCAGCTCTTACCTCTTCTACAATCTCTTTTCTCCAGAAACGTCCAGGTTTTCTATTTTTTTAAAAAGTAAATAAGCCAACAAAGATGCACAGAAGCCAAAATAAGTGGTATAAAACATAGATTATAAATGAATACGAGCCAGGCACTGAATCACATAAAATGTGTTTCTCAGACAGGGCGTGGAAGCCTCCCAATAAGGCTGTGTCCCCCCAGGGACATAGTCAAAGGCCTGGGCTTTGGGGCGAGAGGACCAGCCTGGGTGTCTGGGTGCCTTAGGAGGACACTTGATGGCTCAGAATCTCAGGTGCATTGCTGGGTGGGCCAGCAAGCACAATATAAAGGTACATCTCATGTGTGCTCTGCGTCTGCTCTGATTTCTCCATAGCTTTTGCCAGGCTTTCTCGACTCAAGCCTAGATCCCAGGGCTTCAAGGTGATGTAAGAACGGGCAGGAAATCCCCACAGCCAGAATCACGATCAATATGCAGACCTTCGAACCACAACTGCTACCTACTCTGTGAGTACAGCGAAATAAGACAAGATTGCTGAGCCTCTGCCCTGGTACTAGGAACTTGGGTAGAAGCTATGATTTTTTAGCAGCTCTTAAATGACAGACTGTTATCATCTAATTTGGTTGTCAACTGTAAGATGGGCTTTATCCATGAGTAGGCCACTGGAGATCCCCTTGCAGAGGGGTTTCAGGGAGGAGATGAGCCAGTCAGGGGGCGATGTAGCAACGATGAAAAATACAACTTACCTCTAGTTCCTAAATGTTTCCTCCCCACTCCCACTATCATGACACGAATTCTACCTAGCAAGTCTGGCTAGACCAGAGGATGTACACTGGTACAGATAGGAACTGGAAATACAGGGAATCCAGGGCAGATGAGCCCTTCAGGACCAGTGCAGTGAGTGGCGATACTGGGAGGGTAGAGGGAGAGTGGGTAGGAAAGAGGGAACCGATTACAAGGAACTATATGTGACCTCCTCCCTGGGGGACGGACAACAGAAAAGTGGGTGAAGGGAGACGTCGAACAGTGCAAGATATGACAAAATACCAATTTATAAATTATCAAGGGCTCACGAGGGAGGGAGGAGTGGGGAGGGAGGGGAAAAATGAGGACCTAATGCCAAAGGCCTAAGTGGAGAGGAAATGTTTTGAGAATGATGAGGGCAATGAATGTACAAATGCACTTTACACAATTGATGTATGTATGGATTGTGATAAGAGTTGTATGAGCCCCTAATAAAATGATTTAAAAAAAGAAAGATGGGCTTTATCACCATTTTACAGAAGAGGACGAGAGCCTTGGGGAGCAAAGGTAAGTTGCCCAGGGTCACACAGGGAGGAAGCAGAGAGCCTGACAGCCTGACTCCAAAATCCAGGCTCCTTCCATGGTCCATCCCCTTCCCGCAAGAAGAACGTAAAACATGTCTGTCTTTTATAATGACTCATGTTTTTAAAGCAGCTCTGGAAGCCAGGAACAAGGCAAGAAGGCCAGCCTTTGGATAGCAGGGAACAATGAAAGGAACCCAATCAATCATGAAGAGCGGCAAAGCGCCGTGGTCAGAACGGAATGAGCAGGAAGGTAGAGAAGGGGAGAATTCAACCGGCCACAGGCGTGGGCTCTTTATAGCCTTGCTGCCAGGAACAGGTCTGCCAACTGCTGGTCAAGGCCATGGCTGGACGGGCTAGCTGCGGCCAGTAAACAGAAGTGGATTTTATGCAAGGAGAAACTAAAGAGAAATCCAGCTATGTCTACTCGGTTTTGTATGTGTACCAGGTGCACAATGAAAAGAAAGCAGCTCTAGGTGGAAGGTTCCAAGAGGTTCTTAGATGTTCCAAGCCAGCTCTGGAGATTTCCTTGGAGAAGTGGGGAAGTTCTCAGACAGAGTGAAGCAAAGCCCTGGAGAGAAGGGGTGGAGGGAATCCCCCACTGCTGTGGGACAACAGGCCTCTTCTGGTCCAGATCAGAAACTCACAGATTGGAGGCTGGGGAGCCCCAACGTATTGGGTCAAGGACTGGCAATGATCTCCCCTTGAGCTAGCTCTTGGCACTGAGCATATCACAGTCCCAGGGAAGTCTGACCAGCATCCCTAAGGACATGCCTCCCATGGAGGGTCACTGCACTGCAACCAGATGGTTGTGCCTGATGGGGAATGGGGCGTGAAGATGAACAGGTGCGACAGCAGAAAACAGAATATGGGTCTTGGGGTGCTTTGGGGGCAGGTACCTTAACCAACTGGCTAAAATGATGAAAGTGGGATGGTTCAGAGACTGGAAAAACATCTGCTGAGGTCTTCCCAAAGCTTGGCCTTTCTATTCCCAGAACCAGCGAGTTCAGCCAACAAAGCATGCCTTCCTCCTACTCCACTTTCAGTGGGCTGTGCAAGCCCCACTTTCTCCATTATTCTCCCTCTTGCAATATCTATGGTTTATTATACTCATTCTGCACTTAATGGGCCTTATAGCGTGATCTTGTCTCTTCTGACTGTGTGCATCTTGTCTTTCCACATTTACATCATGCTGACACACTTAATGAACAACAGATTTTATAAACAGTTGGCAGGAACGAATTTATGGAATAGCCAACTTCGCTTTTTTTTCCCCTCCTCACAAAACCGTCTCATTCTAATTCCACAGTTTTTGCATTCTTACATGGAACTTTACAAAAAGTGCCTAAATTCACCTTTTCAAACACTAGTGGGAAAGGGTTGCACCTTTTTAAAGGCTAGATCGTCTGGAAGAAACCCTGTGCCAAGTGAGCTCGATCCCGGACAATGATACGGTCTGACTCTTTCATTAGCTTTCACCTCAGATTTGCCCGTGGACTGCGGTACTTCCCGTTCCACATCAACACCGAGTGCCCATTCTTCGGGAACATTCCGTTTCTTGCCATGACTAGGTCTTCCTCCTCTGTTTCTGTGACCACCGCTTGCTTCCCTGTCATCTGAACCCTGACCCCATTCCCTGGGCTTACTCCAGTTTCCATTTTGACAGCTCCTTGACATTTTACCACGTTACATAGTTGAGATGGGACAGTTCTCATTTTCCAACTTTTCGGGTCAGCTCAAAACTCATGGATCTAGGACATACAAAATCTCATGCTGTCCATTAAACAAGAGTTTGCCTCTAGAGTTGTCTCTACCATCATTCTCTCTTTTCTCCCCAAACATTTTTTAAATTGATTCAGAATACCTAGAGAGTGACCTAAATACGTTTCTTTCATATAAAGGCAAAGCAGCCCCTAGCCTTACCTAGTCAAAGAGTTTATTTGTTATCATGAAACCCTTGGCCATGTCCTCTAAGAAACTAGGAATGCATCTCCCCACAGGGGGGTGGAAATGTTAATAGATGATGGTTAGTTTACTTGAAACTAATAATTTCAAGTACATTAATATTGGAAATGGATTTTTGTGGGCTAATACGTAAAATCCCCTCATATATTTATTCCAGAGAAAGTCGCTTTCAAGCTCCAGATTAACAATTGAACTTTTATGACAAAATCTAACAAAAATTAAGGCAAGCAAAAAAAAATTAAGGCAAGCATGGAACCCGAATTCTTGCAAGAAGCCTTCCCCAATAAATTCACAAAATGGCAACAAGAGTCAACCGGGTAAATCTCCTTCTCTGTAGACACATATGAATAGAAGCAAACACTTTATCTAGTACAGAGGAAATGATATTTCAACAAACCTGTTGTCTTCCTCCAGATTTGTCTTGGATAACAGTCCTGACAACAGAACCAGTAAATATACAACATCTGAAAAATGAACTGATGACATTGCACAGGCCGATGGCTATTAAATCCTGCAAAGCAACAGCAGTCAGGTTAGGTTTATTATTTGTTGAAGAATGTTAACTTGATTTTGAAATAAAGGTATTCTTATATTATTTCTTACATTATACTAGGGCTGTGTATGTCCCTTCGAATAAAAAAGTTAAGTATCCTTAGGAAGAATAGAAGGGTGGTGTTTTTCCTAGATCAGGTTGGCTCGTCATTTTAGCGAGTGATCAAAAGGAGAGAATGAGAAAATAAGCTCTTGCCATTTTTATTTGCTTTCAGGAATCCTGGTGGTCACCAGGTTTTTGAATGATAGGGAGAAGCACAGTATTATTTTTCCCTCTATAGTACTCTCTTCTTACTTATTAACTATCCAACATTTAGCATGAATGGCAATCATGAAAAATCTATCCATCTATTTGAGCACTACATAGGTAAATGCTGAAGTGCAAGGTGAGAGTAACACTGGCTATGGTGGCTAAGGTGTCAACTTGGCAAGGCCATGATACTTAGCTGTTTGGCAGTTATGTCATGCTGTAATTTCGCAGTTATGTAATGATGTAATCATCCTCCATTTGTGATATGATGTGATCATCCTCCATTCTTACATAATGCTGATTTTCACATAACTACCTGTTCTTTTTAACCTAACTATTTGGGTAAGCAAGGAGAGGGCATATTCTAAAAGTCAAACGTGGACTTCTCTTGCTTCCATGTTTTCCTCTTGAGTTTTTGGGAAAAGAACAAACTAGGAGTTATTAGTGAGGAAGACAAAAAAGACAAAGACTCATTCTATAAGGTCAGTTTAACTACAGATTGTCCTCAGTTTACAACGGGGTTCTGTTCTGATGACTCCACTTTACATTGGTTCTAATAAAAGTCAAATTCCTCTTCTTTAAAAATTTATTATTATTATTATTATTACTATTATTATTATTGTCTTTTATTACAATACATTTACAAATCTGGAAGTGTTTCGAATAGTAAATCATAAAATCGAACATTTACAAGTAAACATCTGAGAATTATTAATATCACTAAATTATGCACGCCAACACATTACTACTAATACAAAAAACAAAACAAAGCAGCAACATCAGATCCTCACAGCCATGGAGTCACTTCAGACTCACAGTGACCTTATGGGACAGGGTAGAACTGTCCTGTGGGTTTCTGAGACTGTAATTCTTACTGGGAGTAGAAAGCCTCCTCTTTCCCCCTCGGAGAGGTTGGCTGCTAACTGCAAGGTCAGTTAGCAGCCCACTGTGCCACCAAGGTTTGAAGATTACTAATGTACAAAATGAAACAATTTTTCACCCAAAACATTTATAAAATTTGGATTCAGAATACCCAGAAAGAGACTGACCTAGATAATTTTGTTTCATTAAAGGCAAAGCAGCCCTAGGCTTACTCGCTCTCATGAAACCCCTTGCCGTTATCCTCTGAGGAAGCCAGGGACAGAGAATCCATCTCCCATTTAAAAGAAAATGTTAATAGATGGTTGTTAGTTTACTCGATAGTGGTTAAGTTCACCATAATTTAAATACATCGTAAGTCAGGGACTAGCTCTGTTTTATTGAACAATGATTTACTGCTCTATATGCAAATTAGTAGCTTGTTTTTGTACAAGGTATCTTAAAGCCTTTGCACCTCAGAGTATGTGGCTGACTTTTAAGGACTGTGTAGAAAGGAAGGGAACACTGGGAGAGGTGAACTCCATTGCTCTGCTAACCTAACCACATAATGGTATGTCTTCTGCTTGCCTTTCTGTACTAAATCTATTCTAGAGGACGAACATTCATGTAATTCAGGTGTCTTCAAAATTAAGTATTGCCCATTCCTCAAAAGTCCTTTGGTTATCAAGGTCCAAATTATGGCCCCAGAGACTCATAGAGAAGACCCAGCCTTCATTTTGCAGAAGGCTCAGATGAGAAAACAAAGACCTAATGGTTAGAAGCAGTGATAGGGATTAAATTGTGCCCCCACACACACACATACACACCAAAAAAATATGCGTTGGAGTTTTGACCTCTATACCTATGTAATCCCCCCATTTGGGAATAGGGTTTCCTTTGTTATGTTAATGAGGTAGTATCAGCATAGGGTGTGGCCTAAACCTAATCACTGCTGATTTATAAGAGCAGCATAGACACAGAAGCAGGCAAGCATAAGAGAGGGCAGCCAGATGTAGAGATCCCCAAGGAACGGAAAAGGAGAGGCTGAAAGAGCCAAAGATTCACCACCACCCCGCCCCCGCCCACCTCCATCCTTCTCTCCCTGTGGAGAGAGTTTTCCTCTAAAGTCAGGGCCTGTGTTTGGACTTCTAATCTCCTTAAGGGCAGAAAAATCTATTTCCATTCGTTAAAGCCACCCACTCACGTGACTTTTGCTACAGCAGCACTATGAGACCAAGACAAGCAGTGTAGAAGTCTTATCCTCTCACCTGATTGGAATTGACCTTGTACTTGTGAGCAGTAGCAAACTTCTTGCCCAAAAATATGAGCAGAGAGGAACTCACTAAAGCTAAAGAGATGGCTTGGAAAATAATCTTGGAAAGAAGGTCCATATCTGGTATTCCAGGAAACAGGAAGCTGGAATAAAAAGGTGGAATTATTCCAAATTAGCGGGAATTTTAAATTTATTGATTGGCACCTCCCCATTCTGCCATGCTGATCTCTTTTTACAACAATAAGGGCCATGAAACAGCCAAGTTATAAAAAGCCACTAGAACTTGCTCTACTGCCTTTCAGTTCAAGGTGTCTGTCGTTGTGGAATTCCGAGAGACTGGATGAAAATGTAAGTGGCCAAATTCTCTATGCTCAGAATCACCGGGTTTGGCAGGCTGACCCTGGAGGGAGGAGGCTCCCATAGTTATGAGATAGAGATGACTCTCAATACATTCTCCAGACTGTTAATTGTTCCCACAATAGTTCCCCCCCGCCCCCACAAAAGTGCTACTTCAAAGATGTCTTCTACTTGTGCCTGGCTGCTCGCTTTGCACTCAGAGACTATCTGTCTTTAAGAGTAATCAGTTCTCGGGTATCTGTCCCACCCAAGGTGCAGCCAACTCCCTTTAGAGCAGTGGTTCTCAACCTGTGGGTCATGACCCCTTTGGGGATTGAACGACCCTTTCACAGGGGTCACCTAAGGCCATCGAAAAACACATATTTCCGATGGTCTTAGGAACAGAGACATAGCTGCTCTATCCATCTGCAGGCAGGTCTGCCCACATGCAGATATGCCCACGTGTGAGTACCTGGCACGTTGACATCATTGCACCAACCCCATCACATACACCCCATACAAATACAGGTGTATGTGACAGGGTTGGCGCCATAATGTACTTAGGCGGACCAGTCACACATGTAGAGAGTAGCTACTGTGTAGAAAGCAGCTGCTGTGTTGAAAGCAGCTACTCTGTTAGAAGTAACTACTGTGTTGAAAGCAGCAGTATTGGAGGTAAAACGACACTTCATGAATTATAATTACTGGGTAAATGTAAAATCACGTACTGTAAAATCATCAACTACTGCAAAAAATAAGCTATATAGCTGTACCATGGGAACTTAATCTGGATACTGATCGGTCTTTTTATATTCAGCTGTGGTTGATGTGAATACTGCCCCCTTGTGATAGTAACAGGAACATGAAAAAAAAATACAGAGAATGGTAAATCATAGGAAACTTCAGTGAACTGTATTGACTGAAATATGCCATGTATCATCTTTTGTATTATTAAAGCTATTGTTATATAGTATTTTCATTAGTAAACCATCCCATGACAATGGATCATGTAGAGAAAAACGTTAAGAAAAGAAAATATAGTGAGGATTTTTTACAGTATGGTTTTACCTGAATAATTACAGCAGGAATTGAAAAATTCAATCAGTTATTTGTTGTGAAGTTCTATCAGCCGAATCTAGGAAGCCAAACAAATTAAAATGCCATTTTGATAGCAAGCATCTGAGCTTTGCTGGCAAGGATACCAAGTATTTTAGAAGCAAAGCTGATGGACACAAGAAAGCCGGACTTGACAATGGTGGCAAGTACCACAAACAAAACGTAGCAGCCGTTGAAGCTTCATATTTGGTGGCACTCAGAATTGCCAGAGCTGTGAAACCTCACATCATTGCTGAAGATTTACTGTTGCCAGCCCCCAAAGACATTGTTCAAGTTATGATCGGAGACAAATTGTTATGAAATTGAGTGCAATTTCCTTATTTAATGGCACCGTCTGCAGAAGAATAGATGAGATGTCTGTGGATATTCTTTTTTTTTTTTTTTTGTCTGTGGATATTCTTGATCATGTAATCCAGGAAATTAAATTGCTCCACTTGCAATATTTAGTATCCAGCTTGATAAATCTACGGATGTTGCAAACTGTTCAGTTACTGGTTTACGTGAGGTATATTAATAATGGCAACTTTAAAGATGAGTTTCTTTTTGCAAACCTCTTGAAACGACAACTACTGCACGTGATGTATTTGACACAGTTGGTTCATTTCTGAAAGAGCATAAGATCTCTTGGGAAAAGGTTTGTGGTGTTTGCACAGATGGTGCTCCAGCTATGCTAGGATGTCAATCTGGATTTCAACATTTGGTACTGAATAAGTCACCAGAAGTCATCGGAATTCACTGTATGATTAATCGGCAAATATTAGCAATGAAAACACTGCCTCAAGAATTACAAGAAGTAATGAAAAGCATCATAATTTCTGTCAATTTTGTAAAGTCAAGCACTTTAAACAGTCGACCTGTTTTTGCAACTGTGCAACGAGTTGGATGCGCCAAGTAATGCTCTGCTATTTCACACTGAAGTGAGATGGTTGTCAAGAGGAAACATTTTAAAACGTGTTTTTGAGCTTCCTGATGAACTCAAAACGGTTTTGTTTGTTTTTTAGCAGAAAGCAAGACCTCAGTTCGAAGCACTTTTCAGCGATTAAAGTGAACTGCAGAAAATAGCTTACTTGGTTGACATCTTTGCCATCTTGAATGAGTTAAATTTATCACTGCAAGGACCAAATGCAACATGCCTCAGTTTGTCTTGAAAAGATCTGATCATTCCAAATGAAACTTCAGCTTGGGGGGAAAAAAATTGGATGAAAATAAAATTTACATGTTGCCTACCTTATCTGCTTTCTTTGAGGAACATGACATTGAACCAGAAAAAAGGAGTACAGTGATAATTTCTGTGAAAGAACATTTGCACATGCTTGCAGACAAAATTTCATCATACTTTCCAAATCTATCTGACACCCCAATTACACTTACCAGAAGCCTAATTACAGTCAAAGTTGAAGCTGTTCCTGAGACTGAACAAGAGAAGTTCATTGAACTTATTAACAGTGATACAGCGAGAACTGATTTCTCTACAATGCCAGTTACAAAATTCTGGATCAAGTGTTTGCAATCATATCCTGTTCTGTCTGAGACTGTGTTTTGCTTTCTTCTTCCATTTCCAACAACATTTTTTTGTGAAACAGGATTTTCCAGCTTACTTGGTCAAGTGTAAATATAGAAGTAGACTTGTTATGGAAGATGATCTTTGTTGTACTCTTGCAAAGACTGCCCCGAGAATTTCTGATCTAGTGAAAAAGAAGCTATCTCAACCTTTGCACTGACGTTGGCTTTTTATGCCTACTGTCTCAAAGTGTAGCAATGTAGTTTACTGTTGTTATATTAAGACTGTTACCCATGCTACACCACGCTTCAAGACAAAATTTCATTCATTTGTAATTATAAATAAATATTTCACAATATATAATTATGTACTATTTTTGTGATTAATCACTATGCTTTATGTTCAATATGTAACAGTGAAAATACATCCTGCATATCAGATATTTACATTACAATTCATCACAGTGGCAAAATGACAGTGATGAGGTAGCAATGAAAATCCTGTTAGGGTTGGGGTCCCCACCACAGGAGAAGCTGTAGGGAAGGGTGGTGGTGTCAGGAAGGTTGGGGACCACTGCTTTAGGCTGTGACTTCTTCAGGATCAGAGACTTTGGTTTTGGTCCCCTTTATGTACATGCAGGAGAGCACTCCTCACAAATATTTGGCATTTTCTTTTCTTTTTAAAGTAGCACATTTCCAGTGAGGGTCATGGCTTCATGGAATTATCCAGTCGATTGGCCTAAAATCGTTTTTAAAGTAGAGTAAACCTGGGGTCTTCAAAGCATGCCAGCAGCCATCCAAGTTACAACTGGTGTCTATTCACTTGGAACAGCAGAGAGAAGACTCCGGAATCAGAGGAGGAAGTGGGCAGCAGGCATAACTGCCCACACAAATGACCATCTTCTTTGTCAGCTGAGAAGAACTACTGTGCCCGGGTACTGTCATCAATGACTCAACAGATGAGTGCTGATCAAAGAGAGAGAAGTGGAAAAGGATTTCAAATTCTCCAGGATCCATTGAGACTAGAGGGACCCTTGGAGCTAGTGCCCTGATAAAATCTATTGAAACCTTGAACTGAAACGACCCCCTGAAATCATCTTTATACTGCACAGTTTAGCTTAAGCAGTAATCAATAGTCGCCCTGAGCATTATGCCCCCCTCCTTTAAATACTTATTTACTTGAGATAAAGTTATCAATTGGTGAGAAGTTTCCAAAACAGGTGAAATCACTCAGTCAATGAACTCAACTGCTGCCTAGTCAATTTTGACTACCCATAGCCTCCCTATAGGACAGAATAGAACTGCCCCCCGTGCATTTCGGAGACTGTAACTCTTGAACAGAGTAGGGAGCCTCATCCTTCTCCTGCGAAGCAGCTGGTGCCATTAGCAGCCCAAGACCTCACCACTCTGTCCCAGGGCTGGAGTAGGGGTCTGGGCAATGGTGGTGAAACAATCCAAGTAGAGATAGCCAGAACGGAGACAAAACTTGAAGAATGCAACAATGTTATTGAAATGCACATATAAAAATTGTTAAATGAGGGTATGTTCTACTATATATATTTTAACCCCCGAAAGTATTTTTTTAAGACGAACACAATAAATAAAACATATTTTGCATAAAGGAAAGAACATTTCTGTGGTAGTTACACACTCTTGTGTCAACGATA